TGCAAATTCAACTTGTTTAGTCTTTTATCTACATCTCAGACAATTTTCTCCAACTTGCACATTATAAATGTCAGGCTCCTCAGTCAAAGCTCATGGGGGCCACCTATCAACTTACTCCAGAAGTGCACAGCAACTTGAAATTATGACACATGTACCTTGAAATACAACAGGTATTTTTCTTCAATCACGTCTTTGACACAAGTCACATCCAACCATCATCAGTGAAAGCATACATGGGATAATGTGTGGAGTATTCGCCACTACATTCCTTATTCTACACGTCCTGTACGAATCGAATCCCCACAAATTAAATGAACTCGCCCAATTCCAAAGCATAGTCAATACGTGACCTTTGACCATCAGAGTAAACCATCATCAGCCATAGGGGTGTTCACTTCTAATACACAGCGCGCGCTATCCACCCCCACCACTGCTTCCAGGCCCTCAGACATTCCGTGGCGAGACGGTACGTTGTCTGCATGCGGAACGAACCTGCGCAACCCTGATACACTACCGCCATAGCCGACTGACCTACCCCACAAGAAGATAGTGCCACAAAGAGACAACCAAATAACATAAAAGGACACGCGGTCACTCCTAGCACCTTGATTCAGCAGGGCTGGAATGTTTTTTCTGGTCACGTTTACATTTCTGCTTCCTAGCTTCATATCTACACCTAGCGCACGATATAGCACAAATATATCTGGTAGACGATGAATTTCTGTCGGACGATTTCCCCCATACCATACATGCTAGGAATGATAACAGACAACAGAAGAAGCCATATCATGGCACAGTTCGGATCGCCGATCGCGATGTGGTTTCCTCACATAAAATGCGTATGAAAGGCATAAAACCTGAAGTACAAAACATCTATGGGTACATATTAGATACAGCAGATATATTACCTTCCTCTTCGGCATGACTGTGCCTCAAAATCGTCCAAATTTCGTTATTTTCTCGGTGTTCGTCGCGTCCAGTCAGTTCCGGTTTTTGATTTCTGGTCTCGTCACGAAAACGCGAGACTACGGGGTCACGTGATCAAGGTGGCGGGAAACCTGGGGCTGCAGTTTAACTTATTGTTAATAGGTGTCGCTCATGAACTATCACAATACAAGTACCTGTGCTAAGGGGAAATTTTTAAGGTACCATTAATAAGGGCCTAATTACTAATCACCAGAGTAAGTAAAGGCAACTTCAACACAACTACAACTTACAACACGTAAAGTTGTGAAACTTTATTCACTGAATAGCAAATGTCAGGCAAAAATTGCACTCATACATTATAAATTTGCATGAAGTTTGCTTGCTATTTTGCAAGAAATCTTTATATTTTATATATATAATTAGCTGCGATTGCATAGTTCACACAATAAAAATATTAGGCACAATTTCACCATAAAAATACCACACATTCTTTGTTCATCAGTAGTAATACTGTTTCGCCCTTAAAATTACACAGGCAGACCCTGTATTCACCCTTAAAATTACACAGGCAGACCCTGTATTCGCCCTTAAAATTACACAGGCAGACCCTGCATTCAAAAGTTCACAAAATGCTTAATGTTACAGGTTCAACCAGAAGTGAAGCTGAAAATTAACTGAGACATTTCAATGATTCTCGTTGCTTTTCATCAGTGTTTTAACATCAAGATAGGACAGTCTACAATATGTAGGTGTCTCTGGTCACCTAACGTTACCACTATTGAAGGCAGTCAGAGTTCTGGAACAGTATTACAGAGTCTCCAAAGCCCTGCAAAGTGAGTTGGACCTGCTTGGAGATTAGTCATCCCCCAACCCTTAAACAAATCTATATATCTTTTTATACAGCATCCACAAATGTATTGCACATCAATAAATTTTGTTTTCAAAGCATTCATCCTTTGTTGTTGAAAGATTTCCCCTGTTATTTATACTCATTGCCCCATGACCAGCATACTCAGGCCTGTCCCTAGCCTAGGGCCAGCGTACCCAGGCCTGTCCCTAGGGCCAGCGTACCTAGGCCTGTCCCTAGGGCCAGCGTACCCAGGCCAGTCCCTAGGGCCAGCGTACCCAGGTGTTGTAGACCTGCGGTTGTGCTGCACTCATGATGGCTGTGTAGGTAGTATCCCTGCCATCAAACACAAAATATACTATTAGTCATCATCAGAAATCACTGAGTGAAAAATTAATCATTAAAAACATCTTACCAGGATGCTCATATCTATTGGCACAAACCAATAAGTACACAAAGCTAATTATTATTTAACAACAAACTCAAGCAGCTGAACTAGTTATAGATTACTGGCCAATTGTTTGTATCAACAAAGAAACTCACTTGTTCAGCACTGGATGAACTGACAGCACCTGGAATTGTCAAAAACACAGGTTTTCAATATTGGCTGAATCACTGTACTGTAGCAATGTGACTTGGGCAGTGAAATGTGTACATTTATAAGGTCCAGGGAAGGGGAATTGTCCAAAAACAATGGTGCAACAATTTGTGTGTACACAAGTATTTTTTTCCTCCACTATTCTTTCTCCATCATTTTTACACATACACAATCAGCCATATATAGAGATTCAAAGAATACCTGAAAAGTGAACATTTGGTCACAGAAATGTTAAAACATTTCTTCAGTAATGCATTCTGCACACACTAATATATAGCCCAGGCTCTGTAGCCCTTGTACTGACCTGAAACATGGAGGATGCGTTGATTCCATCTTGTCCCGTTGTGTTCATGGCCTTCATCGCTGGTGCCCTGGTACAAAAACATGAAAATAATTGTCAGGGAGTCAAGTCTTACTCTAAGAAATTGATCAGAACAGAAGTGTTGTGCACAATACTCCATTTTGTGATATCATGAAGCACTTCTCTCACCTTCTGTTGTCATGAGCTGGCGGCTCCACCCAATGGTCATAGTTTGTTTCCAGCACAAACCACCTGAGGGACAAACAAATAAACAACATGAGGGATAAACACGTGAGTTTGAGAGGAAATTCTGTTCCTTGTTACACCTTGTCCAAGAAACAAAGAGGTAAATTGGCCAGGCCTTCGCTGATGACAAACCTTCCCTGAGCTGGGTTCAGGGTCCAGATGTCCAGGGCAGATGTTCGGTCGCGTGTGATGACTGCCCCCTCTGCCACGTTAGCACCTCCCACAATGAAATACACGGGTGCAATGAGAGGTGTGTACGCTAACCTCTGTATGGCTGCATCATAGCTGTCAGCTTCTGCCAGAGTCTGGAAAGTTAAGGGATCATGAGTTTGGGCTACCGGTACTATTAGGTCTTCATGTTGTCATAAAGCTCCCAAACATACTAGTATTAGGATATAAAAGTCTTCTCCCTGATAAAGAACTAACTGCTTTTTGGCACCAAATTTGCCAATGTACATGTTTAGGCAGTAAGTAGCTGTCTCCATTGAAGCATAGATGGAAGCTCTCCTTACCTCTCTGACAAGGAAGCTCATGAGTGAAGCCTGCTTGTTCAGTAGGGCCTCCAGGGCATTCATCCACCAAGCACCCTGGTCTGGGGAGGGGGGTACACAGGATGAGTCAAAACTGAGATGGTAAATGGCCTTATTGAGCCTACACTCCTTTCCACTGAAATGATTTACTGATTTGACCTTTAACCTGAGTCTCATACAAGTTTGCCATGTGATCTCATTTCTTATCCATTGACCTTTGACCATACTCACCCCTTTCGTCCACTGTGATGGTGAACGTGTTTGGCCTCTGACCTGTCAGTGCTCCCACGTACCCCAGGTAGCTGGTGGACGTGTACAGGGTCTGGGGTGGACACAGGTTCTGTCAGCTGGCTTTTCATCAGTCATGGTCACAACAACAAGGCAAACACGGGTAGTACACATACTTACCTTTACATATAAACGTTACATTGTATAGACTTACTAGTATTCTCTTCTGCTGTTTTATGTACAGGTCCTGCTAGACTTATTAGACAACAGGAGTTACTATTGTGACAGTCAAGGGATTGCAGGGCGGGGTCCTAAGCAGTGGGGAGTACTATCCAACTTGACTGGTTTTTTTTTGTATTACATAACATTCTCCCTGGACATCTAACCTTCATCGCCGTACCTGTCCTTTGGTCTGGAAGTCGATCAGGACTGTTATGTTGCGTAGGAAGTCCCCAAAGCCATAGTCCAAGTTCCTCCCATGCCAGATGGTTCCCTTGGAGTCCTGGGCAACAATACTGGTGCAGAAACTACAGGTGAAGAAGGAAAGCAGGCAGAGTTTATACATGTTGCAGAAGGAAGTGTGTAGCATCTGTGGAGAACTAGAGGGCAGTCAACAGGTTGAGTCTTAACTGGTTGTGGTGCTCTCCTGACTTGCAAGGAAAGGGATATTACATGTCTTTGGATGGGGCATTCAGCAAAAAAAAACAGAGAAAAACAGAAAATATACAATCAGATAACTTGAACCAGGTCAGCCATTAAGTGATTAAGAGCCAAGCAGTGGTGATCTACACGGCTGGCAGTTCTCCTATGAGCATGCACCTGTAACGTTGCCCAAATGTAAACTGATGAAAACTGCTGGTGACTTACGCAGTCAAGTCGTACACGATGTTTAGGATGACGATCTGCCCCAGGTCGATCCCAGTACAGTTGGCGATGCCCCGCATCTCTCCTGCGAAGGGCTGAGGGAGGTACTGGTCCAGGTCTGCAGTCAGAACCTCCAGGAGAGGCAGAACTTCTGCTGGCACCACACTCCTACAGGTGGGAACAAACCGGTGTGTTAACCATAGAGTCCAGCCATGTAAGCCTTTTCTGCTCCCCAAGATCCACTACCTCACTAAAAGCTAAACAAGGCTGGACTCCAGGTAGCCGTGGACGACTCTGTAACCCTTTTTGCATGATAATGCCGGGTACCCGGCATTATCATGCAAAAAGGGTTACAGAGTCGTCCACGGCTAGACTCCAGGCTAACCAAGTTTAGCCTCCATAGCAGTGTTGTCAGTCACTGTAACGTGTTACACAGTTTCTTGTTTTACAAATATCGAGCACAGGCTATACCAAGTTTCCTCATTCTTTTTTCCATACCCGCTTTAGATTCTACACAAACTCTGCCTACACAGTACATTTTGGGGTGGGGGAGTTGACCTTCACATTAAGACGTCTGGCCGCAGCTGTAGGCCTATTACCAATTTACTAGTATTAGGATTTTTACCATGGTCAATATTGACCTAAGGAGGTCATATATAAACCAAGGAAGACTTATTCTTATCCTGGATCTTCTCGCACTTACGTGATCATATCCTTGGCGTCTTTCTTGAGTATCGGGATGAGTTCCTGTATTCCCGGGTCCTGGCAGATGGGCAGGAAGTGTTCCTCCGGCGGGCTGTCCAGATTAACCACGTACCGCTTGACAGGAACGTCCCTGGCGGAGGTCGGGACCAGGATCAGGGACAGGACACCCAGGGACATGAGCAGGGCTCGGGTTTACGGAAAAACCTGGGCTGTGTACCTTACCAGGCTACCTTACCAGTCTACCTTGCCTGTCTAGGACGTCAGGCTACTGAACTCCCCCCATCCACAGCCTCACGAACAACAAGACTTCCAAGCAGCTGCGCCCCCTGGCGGAATGCATCAAAATTGCACCCACTACTTTGGCACGTGCGTGTGCACAAACCTGTGCAGCATGGAGTTAAACATAGCCTGACTAATCGCGCTCCTGGCGGTCGTCGACCCGAAGTGGGTGGGGGTCATTAACCTCTTGTGTAACACAGGCTATGTTAACACAGCAAGAAAACACAAATTTAGCACAAATTTAGCACAAATAAATATACGCTATGTGCTATACGCTATTGACAATCATCGTCACTCGGCGTGGTTACCCAAGTGATGTCAATGTGTCAGGAATGGGGTGTAAGTGAAGAGATGTCACACGTTGTGCGATAGCGATTCAGCCGCTTCAGCGATTCTTCATTTGAACGTTATTTATCGTTGAAGGGTAAATTTTTAACATCATGTCTTCTTTTTCATTTTTTTGTTTTATTCTGAAAAGATACTTTTACTGCACATAGACCTGTCCTAACCTCCGTCATACGATAACATGTGGACGTCCTTATCTCCACATGGGATAATCAATTCTATAAGCTACATATTATCGAATTACATGGATAAACACATGCTATGACTGAGAGAGAGGCCTTGTTAAGGGACTGTACGATATTTACCGGGGGGAGGGCTGGTGCACAGGGGGGGAGGGGGGTAGGGCCATTGAAAATTTTTTCGCCTGGGAGGAGGGCCATGGAAAAAATTTTGAGCTGGGGGAGGGCCATCGAAAAAAAAATCGGCCTGGGGTTAGGCCACCGAAAAACTTTTGTAAACATATGGCGTCGCGGAGTACTGAATTACAAGAAATACGCCGTAAATTCCCGAATATAGTACGCACTTTTTACATTTTTCAAAATCCCAGAAGTGTCTCGGGCCGTCGCCAAAGTCGCGGTGCGTGCTTTATTTGAGTTTTCCGCCGACAAATCCGTGGACGACCAAGGAATATAGCGGAACACCGGCACGGGGAGCTTGGAACGACATCGATTCGTCCATAGCATAGAATATTGACGAGTGGAAATAAAGTTAAACTTCAATAAATGAACATATTTCCTGTGACTTTCGTCGATATTGACACCAAGTTGCGTTAAAAGAAGAAGTCAATGATAGATGTAGTCTTTGATGAAGTCTTACCGCCCGGCCGGTGGGTGGGGTGTTTGACGCGCCGACAGGCAAACCTACAGCTGAAGAACACAGAGAGGGCCGTGGCATGCATGCGCAGCGCTGAGGACAGCTTTCCAGAACATGGACCCCGAGAAGGAAGTATTTCTTTCCTCTGAACAGACTGTACTTATAAGTTTATTCCTTTGATTTTGTGACAAAAAACATCTATCACATAACGAGAGATTACTTGAAACGCAGTCAAACTTGTCACTTTCTCCTGTTCGGAATTGCAAGTCCCATTGATCCCAGTAGTCTTTTGTTGTTGTGTTAATTGGTTTCGGTGTCAAATTTTAAATTCGGTAGCACCTCTACACCCAAATACTCCGCCCAGTTCTCCGCCTGTATGATTGTTGCTCTCCATGGGTCGATCGGGCGGGCGCTATTATAATTAAAGGAGTGTTCGGCGCATTTCGTATTAAAAACAACAAAGCTACGTACTTGTGCATCAACATTCAACTACCCCTCGTTACCGATAGAATCAATATTTAAATATTGTCTTTTTTTCAAAAATCTTTGACTATTGCTTGCTTGATCACCAACACTCTCCGGGGATCCAAAGCTGTACGTTTCGACTTGCCTTACCCTTCGATGCGGTGGCGACGTCTTGCAAGTCGGCTGCGGCCAGCGGTGAAAACAAGGCCGAACATGAAGCGTTCCCCGCTACGTTACCATACAATCACGTAGTACTACGGCATAAATCTAGTTTTTAACAATTTTTTGGTAACTACATGTCCACAGTGGTACCGGCCGTGCGTACGTTTCAGACGTGAATATTTGTCTCCCACCAGCCCCAAATCAGTGAGACAATCACATGGAAAAATGTGTGGGGGGGGGGCACCGAAAAATGGTTGTGGTTGGAAAAAAAAATGAGCCGGGGGGAGGGCGATGGGAAAATTTTTTCCGGACCCTTTTTGCACAAGCCCTCCCCCCCGGTAAATATCGTACAGTCCCTATGATTCTCTACAGATGTGCGGCACGGACAATGCTGCCCCCGCACTTCGGTCAAAAGTTCACCCTGTTCTGATGCAATACACACTCCGACCCGTGAGCTCTCAAAGTAACCACGACATCCGTTTCCCTGTTACTGTTGATTACTTTAGATAAAATAAAATAAAATAAAACATAACATCCTGTTCAGTTTATTTCTAGATCTCTTGCTGTGTTTAACTCCTAGCCTGTGTTACACAAGAGGATAATGACCCCCACCCACTTCGGGGCGGCCGGCCGCCAGGAGCGCGATTAGTCAGGCTATGTTACTAAGTATTTCCATGCCGTAATCTCCAAGCAGATCTTTCGGTTGGGTGGCAAAAGACAGTATCCATTGGCCATCCTGTATCCATTGGCCATCCTGTATCCATTGGCCGTCCTGTATCCATTAGCCAACCAAAGCTAATGGACACTCCTCTGGCTTGCCACCGAAAAATCTGCTTGGAGATTACCATGCTGCACAGGCCTAAGGTTTGTGCACACGCACGTGCCAAAGTAGTGGGTGCAATTCTGATGGATTCCGCCAGGGGGCGCAGCTGCTTGGAAGTCTTGCTGTTCGTGAGGCTGTGGATGGGGGGAGTTCAGTAGCCTGACGTCCTAGACAGGCAAGGTAGACTGGTAAGGTAGCCTGGTAAGGTAGACAGCCCAGGTTTTTCCGTAAACCCGCAGGGCTCGGCAGGCATCCATGTTGTGTGGTTCAGCTGAACTAGGTCACCTTTTCCGCACTGGTCAATGCCTTTGGTTGCTGAACTTTACAACTTAATCCTTGAACTGATTGTGATGACCAGCCTACTGACATGAGCTGCAATACCTTGCGGCTGTCACGGGATTCGCACGACTCCAAGGGCGGTACAAAGTGCAAAGTTTTTGTTTTGTTAGGAAGTCTCACCCTCACCCCACAGTTCACAGTCGCTGGTGACCCTGTCAGAGTCTCCCTGTCAGGGAACAGAGATGAAACGACCTCTAGCGGAATTAATTTGATCTACAGGACATAGCGTAGAGTTCGTCAGCAAGACTATTAGTATTAGTGTCGGCTGACAAGTTTGTAGAGTATCTTGCACAAAATTAAAATGAAATATCGTGACCCCTCCAGGGTTCAGGTTTGATTTCACATTTATCACCAACTGCTGCGAAATCACGTTAACTACATCATACATGGCTGAAAGTGTACGCGTGAGTGGTGCGTTTGGGTAAAATTGATTTCGGATCCGAGGTTTTTCCGAGTTGCCGTTACAAATCGGATGTTACCCAGGCTAGGGAAAAGGGACTTCAGGAAATCACTTTTCTTTCTGTTACGTGAAGGTGCGCTGACCATTTTAACGAAATGAGTGATTTTCTTCGTCTGCGGCAATGTCATACTTCCCCCGCAAGAGAAGCTAACATCGTAGGGTTTATTTTTTAATTATATGTAACGTTACAGCGTTTAGAGATTCTAGCCCAGCCAGGGTGGAAGTTAACTGATCGGATAATTAACGAGGGGTATCAGTTTCCAAGCGATCAAATCACTCCACACGCACACTCATTACCCACAGGTTTGCATGTCATTTAGTTACCAAATATCCCCCGTTTTCAGACCCAGTGGGTCAGTGCTTAACGTCCCACAGCTAGTCGACTTCGCGACCCTATGACGGCTCAGAATTGCGGTACCATGTCCCTGACATGCCATCACATGGCAGCTGCCTGTATTACATGGCTCCCTTCTGGCTGGGAAGAAACCGACTTGAGACGATACAGACTATCACTTTCATCCATGGCTGACCACGACCTTGTACACCTTTTAAGGCGACGTCAAAGGTCACGATCTGCTATGTTATGAAGGGAGGTGATTCTGAACTCCTTTGGATTTCTTTAGGGGTAATTTGAAAGGTTAGCACAGAAATCGGACGGCTCAACGTCAAACCTGCATAAGGACCACCTACCATTGTGGCCCCTTTCTGATAGAAGCTTGGATTATATCACCACATTTTTCTTGTCAATGTCTGCTTGCAATTAGCCCTCGGGCATGAGCTTGCAATAGAACAACTCTTATAAATTTTATATTTCCCGTTGTACCAAACATGAAGAACCCCGTGTGGAGCGGTCACCTGTCTACTGTGACCATATATTTTCTTTCTCAAAGCTCCTTGAGTGGTCACTACCGACAGGTTTTACCTATGACGTAAACTATCGACTACATATGGGTGTTACCTTGATCTCCAAGCAGACGCCAGGGGAGGATTAATCGTTATTTTTTGCTAGCTATCCCATACTATGTCTAAAGGAAGCAGTTCGGAACAGAAAATGGCAGCTAGTGAGACGTAATTTAGCCTCCCCCGGCATCTGCTTGGAGTCTAGATTAGCATTAGCTAGCAAGTAATAGGTCTGGGATTCCAAGGACATTCTCGTTTCGTGGCTGAGAGCCAGCAAAGAACCCAAGACCGGGGTTACTACTATTCTCCTGAAGAGACACGGAGTAAGCCAGCCCAAACTGGAATCACTTCACGGCTATACGTTTTTCTCTAATCTTTTAATCTTGTACATGAAATACAAAATACACCCAGAAACGTCGTTTCCACGGTTACCCTGTACTGTGCCTTCAACAGTTTATTCAACATTTGCAATGTCCACCTTTTCCGTACACTCCACGCGGGGCACATTCTGAGTTCACAAGTCCCCATTTTCTTTCGATGACTTTTAAGGTGTAAATACATTCCATATCCCCCAAACAAACTACTTTGGATCTTCAGGACAGGACAATTACAACAACATATTAAACCAAAACAAGAGCACGAAATTTTGTCTATGTGTTACTTTCTGACTCAACTCTATCAAAAATAAATACATCGTCACTCTGTTTCAAATCATACAACCTTCTCAAATTGACACAAGAAACCATTTCCAGAGTGTACCCATACACATATACCTATATCTGCATTGTTTCCTTCAAAGAATCGCGTCATGCTTATTTACAACAAAAACGGTGTTCTAGCCAGGGTATGTTCCCATCCTCATCACCTGTTCACGTATTTCTATGTTTGTTTGTTTGTTTAATTGTTTGTTTGTTTGTTTGTTAATCCTGGTACAACAGGAACCCCGTGAAGGTGATAGTGCCGTCCTCTCCGCTGCCGTCCAGCAGCCCCCCGCTGGCCAGCTTGGTGTAGACCGTGTCGCCCACGTCCAAGTGCAGCACCACGGCCTGGGGACAGCATGCTGGTGTCGCGCGTACTGTCGTCCTCAGCCGTGGCCTCGATCCGCTCGTTCTTCATCAGGTGCACCGCCGTCCTCCGCGCGTCCATCTTCTTCATGTTGAAGGTGAAGAAGTACGAGCCTGGCACCCTGCAGGTGAACACCCCGAAGTACGGGTCGAAGCTCGAACCCACGTTGCTAAGCAACCGGTCGAACTCGATGACACGTTCCCAGGGTGCGGTGAAGTCCGTGGTGCGCTTGGCCGAAAAGGCGACCTGGGAACGACCACTGGCGGGAAGGATGTTGTTGATGTTGTTGTTGTTGTGGTGGGTTGTTATGGTGACGGCTTTCGGTGTTACCTGGGTGACAGGAAGGTTATTTTAGCAAATCATCTCAACAATCTTCCTTAGCTGGACTTTCACAACTATCTACAACTTCCCTCAACCTTTCGTTTCCACAGGTGCTTCATGTAGACAGCGTTAGTTTTATGGTAATGAAACAGAGAGACAACCTTTAGATATTTTTGGATGAACTTGTACTGAAGAAAGGCAACAAACATTATCGGTTTCAATGTCAAAATGGCGGCGTTTCCGTGTGCCATATCAGCACGGGGCGTTTGGAAATAACGACCTCATGGGTGAGAATGCTAAAATCGGTCACGCTATCCACTAGTACTGTTTTACCTGGCATCCATCCGTTTCCAGCTTGTGTCCATTTGATTATAGTTCACACCGACGGTTGCCCTGGGAGCGGCGGACACAGACCGGACCAGACTGGATCAGACTGGTCTCAATGTGGTTCTCAAAGTGGTCAGGAAATGGTTCGTAATCGACTTAACATTTGGGACAGGAGCTCAAAAGATATGACAACATTAATTTTACGCTTTCTTTGTCAGATAGAACGAATTTGGCAAATCCGTAACAGCAGCGTATTACTCTCGACCCGAAAACAAAGTTCAATTGTTGTTCGCATTCAGACGATATTCTGCTCCGTTGAATGACTAACATGAAACACAGGAGTATTGTTCATATCAGGCTGTGGAACTAACATCCTGTCAGGTTGAACCCTTGTTTGCTATTTAATTTTGCAGTCTGTGGACAGACGCTGTTTATATTAATTACGGTAGCTAGAAGGAGTTAGCCGGCCAGAGGAGGAACGATTTGCAACCTAGAGATTGCAGACTGTACTGCCATGACCGGCCTACTCATCTAGCATATTAGTCCATTTGATACTATTTTCCAGCAACCCATTGGAAACTAGTTAATAAGACTACACAAATCTCCAACGCCTAGGTAGTCAAGTCTGCTATGCGGGCTACTAGTATCCTGTACGTCCATTCGTTGCTGGCAGCTGTTGCACAACTAGTACGGGAGCCCGCATCAGACCAGGAACATCAAAACGCCCACCGCGCGGCCTGCAATGGAGACTAACGCCAGGTGTACCGGCAAAAACAAACACGTCTGTTACCGTAGGAGGTGGGTGGTCTCCGGTGCACCGACGGTTTGAATCCTCCGGGTTTTCCCGCCACCAGCCCGCCATCCTCACACACCGCGCCCTGCGGACACTTCGGTTTCCATACCGACGGGAGGGAGAAGGCCTCCGCGGTGAGGGACAGGCAGATGACCGTGAGAGACAACACCGCTCCGGCCGACATCTGTCTCAGCAAACATGGGAGCTGCATCTTCCGTCTGTTTTACCTGGAGGAGAACAAAAAGAGTCGATGAGAAAACAGACGAACTTTTGATCGAAGGATCTAATTACAACATGAGGACAACCTGTCGTTTCTGCTGAATCACTTTTATTTACATAGTAAAAAAAACAGGTAAACTACAACCTAACATTACAAACAACCTCGCAAACTTCCGGCTGAGCGTACTGCATCTGTCCCTCGTCAGGTTCACATGACCAATCACACCAGACACGTGACCCAAATGTCACGTGACCTGTCCCTTTGAACACGGGGTGAGCGAAGGTCTGCCGTGCAAGTGTTGTTTTCTTAGCGCGAAATCGGTCCGATACAAACATTTCCCCCGAGCGCCGTCAACTGTCGGACAACATTTGTGTAAAAAAAATCAAGCGTAAATTGTTCCACATGTGGAGTCTGAGACGTAAATGGAACAGAGGCTAACATCTGACCTTCAATTCCACCCTTCTCCTTAAAGATCCTTAAAGATATTACGGGTGTCCTTAAGATCCCTTTTCCCTTCATCACCGGCGCACACGTGCTGTTCCTAGACCCAAGGCTAGGTTTGCTGTGTATCCCCGGCACTAACCCGCCCGACACGGCCATTTATTTCCCTGGTTCCCCTTCACCTTCCCAGGAGCTCCCGCTTTGAAATTCAAATCCTTAAGTCACCTTGTTAAGTAAATAATCTTCCGTGAGGTCAATCTATTACGGGAAGGAATTCATAGTCTATATTCAAGTGTTTTAAGTTCAACCCAAGGGTAAGTTAGTTACTCTTGAAAGATTGGGTATTTTAGGTGTTAGAGCAAAGTTCAATATCTTGTTTGAAAACCACCTGGTGAGGGCGAAACCGTACATGGCTAACAATCCCCCGGTTTCCCCACACCTTTGGCGGAGCTCCCTTTGAAGCGAGACGAACTCGCACGTCCAGAAAATAGAACATTTAATGGGCGATGGTTTCCAGGCCTGGGTAGTGTGGTTACCATCCCCCGTAGCTACCACGGAGTAGGAAGCAAAAATGTAACTACGGAGGATGATAGATGATACGTACCCAGGTACCCAGGCTAAACTGA